GATGGTTGCCTCGTCTCCGGTGGCCCTAGGGCCATGGGGGCGCGGTGGATCCTGCCAAGGGCCGGCGGGAGGGCTCCGTTTTCAGTCGCTTTTTCCTGTCTTGTTGGGGTTTGTGTCATGCTCAGGAAGACGAGACGGCGGCGGCTCCCTGAAGATGGAATAAAGGTCTCCCATCCTAGCCCCCGTTTCGGCGGTGCATCTAGCATCGTTGGTGGGCGTGTGAAGGTGTGTCTTCGGCGGATCTATCTTTGGTGGATCTCGTCGTTGTTCGTCTACGTTCGTGTGTCTTCAGGTTGAATCCTTCCAACCTACGTTATTCTTCATCAGCGGCGGTTGCTGTTCTGGTGCGCTGGTCCTATGGGGCCTTAGCACGACGACTTCCTGACTGTCTACTACAACAAGTTGTGCCCGACTGCGGCGATGGAGGGGTGATGACGGCAGCGCGCCTTTGGCTCGCTCCAGTGCTTGTAGTCATCGCTAGGTGGTCTAAGGATCTGGATGCAATTTTTATTTCTGATGTTCGTTGTACTGCTATGATCGAAGATGAATAGATTGAAAGTTTTTTCGCAAAAAGAAGCTGATGGTTTTTGAAATGTGGTTTTGTACTCAATCGGTAATATAATAATATGCCGCTTTTTTCTTTGCCACGACAGATAAAAAGGATGATGTTAGTTTACCACATGAGGGCTTTTTTTTAGCATCAGTACAGACACAAGTGCTCATATACACGCGCATACACTCATCCCTATGAACGCACACACGCACACCCTACGCCTATGAGCACCTCCGAGAGACTGAGCCGGCATATCATCTTGAGATTTACGAAGCCACCGTAGGCGCCTTGTCGTCGACGGGAACGTCTCCTCCCACTGAAAGCACATCACCGGAAATCCTGAAATAAATCCAGGAATAATGCGAGCACAGGATTTGAACCCTGGTGGGTTGGAGATACCACTATCCACCTAACCACGTCAACCACAGGTTGGTTCGCCATGAGGGTTTTCTTTTGAAAAGAAGGTTGATCCCCGACCTCTGCATCTGCAAGATGCATGCAACCATTTTATTAATTATTGATGAATACCTTACAAAGTAGTAAATTAATATGTCTGAATCCGCCATCTTGCCAATATTTGACACTACTCTTATCCACTTGAGAAGGGGCACAGACATGATGAGCCGAATACCGAAACCTCTCATCTAAGCCTAACATATAAAGCCGGAGGCCCCAGCCAAGCCACATACTGCGTCTGGGGCACAAACTGGTCCAACACACTCTCATGAGTCGTTGCCTCCGTCTCACCAATCCATCTTCAGAGCAGATACTAATGCAACGACCTTGCATGCCTACCGTCGATGCTGCCACGACGCCAAACAGTGCCACCGTCCCGCGCTCGTCCATCCAGACGCATCCATCAACGAGATCTAGCTGCACCATACCGCCAACACTCATTGTCGTCGACACGGTATATTCGACGTCGCTCCTCCTGCCAACCTCCACAACGTCGCCGCTGCTCACCACCCACAATACCTCTTTCCCGAACACCCAAGCCTCCCAAGACGGCGCCTCCATGGAGGACA